TTTCCAAACAAATGCAATTCAGCACAGTCAGATTTTGAATATAAGCAGTGTTTAGGACAAGGCATATCCTTCCTTGTGGAGACAGTGGTTTAAACTAGAATTGACAGCAGCTTACGCAGCCTCTTTTGGGGTAACCTTCCAGCCTTTGCACTGCTGCATGGCATCCTTTTGAGAACTACAGTGTTTAACCTGAGGGAAGTGAGGAGTGTTCTCTTTGGGCCAGGTCAGTACATGGTCAATTGAAGTGTGGCTGGTTTGTTGTTTGTAAAACAGTCTTTCTGTGCTAACACTGATGTAGGTAAAATTCAGATGGAAAACAAATGGTTGATCAAGACAAAATTCAATACAATAATTAGTTCAAGATCCAGAACTGTCTGAGCTGCCACTGAGCAGAATGTATTGGCTTTTTGCTATAGAAATGGTGTTACATGCTCCATATAAAGCGTGAATGGAAAAAGTGTAAACCAGACTGTTTACTGGCTTGCTGAATGGGGAATAGATTGTGGTGTCATTAGTGTTGCTGAAAAGTTATTTATGCCAAGTAAACCCTAATTAGGAATACTCATAGTACAAAGTTGTTTTCTTGCTTTAGAAAAAGGATTTTGACTCTTCTGCTGAGAACAATAGAACTCAATTTGAACTTTGCAACATTAAAACTTGCTCTTGTTGCCTCTCTCCTCCAGGATTGTTGTCAAGACAAAATTAGGTGGTGTTAAAGTTGTAGCCTCCCTGGTGTGTTTGTCCAAATGCAGAGAAGAACAAGTAATCTTATCAGCTTTTCTAGTTCTTTCTTGCAGTGTACTTTGAACAAAGGGCTGTAATTTTACGCTACTGTCATCCTCAGCATTTCTATTTCTGTGCTTTCCTTTAGTGTTTTAGGGGATTTATAACTGCAACTTTAATTCCCTTTGGGCTGAAACCTGGCACAGAAGCTCTCATTAGGAGCGAACCTTGTTTTGCAAAATCAAAAGCAAAGCATCCGTTAAGAGCCTTCCTTAAGCCTACAGGACATGGAGGAGCTGAATGTTTATTGTTGCAGATCAATTTTTCCCTTCTACAGGAAGAATCCAGCTGGCTTTGGAAACCTGTAACGTGTGGGTGTGCAATCAATAGTGATGGCAGATTCAAGTGGAACACTGTTAGATTTAGAAGACTTTAACTGAAGGTCTGAATTCCCCAATACACTGAAAATTCATTGCTTAAGTAAAAGCTGCAGCTGCAACCTGCCTACCAAAGGTACAGTGGTGGTTTAAAAGTTGCTCCTACTGTTTGAGAGTGGTTGGCTGAGCAGTACTATATAAGGAGGTGGTTGGGTTGTTCTGTGCTTCTGGAGTTAAGTACCTGTAAGCTCTCAGCTCCTTGGAAAAGGGAGTAATCCTGTTGAACTATCTACCCAGTCTCTGCTTGTTTAAAATCTTCTTATGCTTAAAAAACCCAATGAAAACAACAACAAAAACCCAAAGCAACATCAAAACTGCCCCAGCAGCCCTCCCAAAGACAACCCACCAAACTTCCTGAACCAACCAACAAACCAAAAAACCCTCACTAAACCCCAGCCCTCTTGTTTTCTGTAGGAACTGAGGCTTTATGTAATTGTGTAGAAGACAAAGGGACATTCTGAGCCACAAAGAGCTTTCATATAGAGAAGATGGAGTAATTTAATTTGATTAATCTTGAAGTATCAAAAATAAGTTCTGAGGAACTTCATAACAGTGCTTGGATAGAGGAGAGATCCCAAATTAACAATTATTAATGATGTCATTGTAGGAAGGCCTGATGAAGGTCAGCTTCATTATTACTGGATCTGACAAGCCTTTTGACATCTGCACACATTGAGCCCAGTCATAAGATCATAGAACCATGGAATGGTTTGAGTTGGAAAGCACCTTAAAGATCATCCAGTTCCAAGCCCCTGCCGTAGGCAGGAAGATGTATGATTTCTCAACCATTTGGAGGAAGTGAACCTGGGATGAGAAGGGCTGGGGTTTTTGTGTTTTTAGGAAGGAGCAAAGTATGTAAATGTACAGGAAACTCTGGTTTTTAGTCTTGTGGGCATGCAATAAATATTCTTTAAACATAATGCAAAAATAGGCAGTGCTTTCATGAAGATGACTTAAAAATGTCAGTGTAGTTTCCCAAAGCACTTAACAGACTGCTCTGTACTTGGGGATTACTTGTTTCTTACCACAGACCCACTAATTCTTGTAATCCTTTAGGGGTGCATCTGTCCTTTGCAGTTATCAGTTGAGATGTAGTTGATACTATATAAAAAGGGTGTTGGATCTGTTCTGGGAAAACTTTCGGGTGAAATCAGAGATGTAGAGGGATGAAGCCTGTGCTGCCACTAATTCTCTGCTGAATTGCCCTATTGGAGTTGTGCCTACCTAGAATACCAGGTCTGAACCTCAGCGTCAGGCAGGGCGAAGGATGTGTGATTTAGGTTGGCAGTTGAAGATTTTGCATAGAATGAACTAGGTCTGACCTTGTGGGCTCTTTAAAGGGAGACTTTGAGGAATGAGGCAGTTTTGAATAGTGAAAGAAGTGAGATTCTAGGCACAAGTCCAGAATGGAAATGAATGTGAAGATAAATGTCAGAAAGGAAAAACTGGAGTAAAGTATTCAGGAGTGAGAATGGAAATACAGAGATTTAGGTCAGGAAATAAATACTGCTTTCACTTGAAAATGCACAGGGAAAGTGGTAGCTAAAGCTGCAGGCTTTAGAATGATTTCTAAAGGGTACTCACAGAGCTCCAATACTGAACTGCTGCTGAAGTCATGGCAGTGGGCTTGACATTCCTCTACCTTCTATTCTGCATGGGGGAAATGATTACTAATAAAATTCAGTATAATGGAGAGGAGTATTCATTTGGTGGGTTTTCTTTTGGGTCTGCTCATGTGAGGAACATATATATTGAAGAATACTGCATATCTAGGGATTGAGTAGGTATGGCAAGAAGGAAGAGGATGGTAAGATACATGCTCCTTGGTTGTGAGCAGCAGTAAAGTGTCTTTTTACTAGTAGTCATAACTGGAGGAAACTTGAAGTAATTTGTCCCAAGCTCATTTAATTCCACTAATAACTTTTAACAGGATGGATTCGTTATTTATCTTTGATTCCCATTCTCCCCCTCTCCCTTTTGTTGGCCTTTTTTTGGGATTTTATTTTTTGCTATTCGTTAGCCTAATAATTAGCTCAGTGAGCTGTCAGTCAACAGACCCTATTTTGGTTTAAGATTATATACCATAATTAGTGTAATGCTAAATAACAAAAGTAGAGTCTTAAAGGCCTCAACGTGGTTGTGATGCTGCAGGGTAGGGTTGGTTTTGGGTTGTTTCAAGTTGGTCTGCAAGGACTTTTTAGAAACCTGTGCCATTTGCAGTGTTGACATACCTGTTGGGGCATTTGCAGTGACAGTCTCATGTCGCTGTTGACTTCCGTGCGAAATGGCCTGATAAGGGCTGTATGGTGCTGCGATTGCCCTCAATGAGGTGGGGGTTTTGTGGACTTAATACTCTGCTAAGACTGAGCTGATATAGGCTGCTTTTATGACCCTGCTGAAATAATTAGTTCATACGAATGTGGTGACAAATGCAGCTCTTGGTTTCAGTGTCATAAATGTAACTCAGTATCTTGTGGAAAATAGTGACCCTCACTGGATAGGAATTTTCTTTATCATGCATGGATTTATCACAACACTTGTAAAATATACAGTCTTTTAAATATAGTGAAAATATGAGCATATCACTGAAGTTCTGGTCAGGCATTGTGTCCCATGGAAAAGCATGAGGGGTAGTCTGAAGCACTTGTAGGGGGTTTGTCAACTCTTGTTTAGTTCGGTACTGCAGTCCTCTATCCATAAATCATAGCCTTCCATGAAACAGTGTAAAGCAGCAAACAAATACTAATTTACTGGGTCACAGCAGCCAATACTACTTGAGTTAAACTGCACTGTAAGGTCAGTAGTCATAGAGCATGGTCAGGAGACAAGATAATATGTTCCTCAGGCAATTTAGATCTTGCTTTGAAATATAACATAAAAATTGCCACTAAATCTTAGTAGTGCTCATAGTCAGAAACTCATCGATTGCTGAAAGGAATTGTGTGATGTACTTGCTTGTGAGAGCAGGGACCATCTCTGAAGAGCCAAGAGGTTTTTCTTAGTTGTATGTTCCTAGGCTCTGTGCCATAACCTGGCTATTCCTGTAATAAGACCTGTTTAAATCTGTGCTTCTCCAATGGCTCTAGTGAGAAATGGAACCACATTCCCAACTAAAAAGGCTATATAAACCCTAAATAATTGAAAAAATATTGTACAGTTAATAATCTACTGATGTTTCTGAACTGTTGGAGCATCTTCCTGCATACTGAATGTTTCTAGAGGGAGCATCAAAGCAAAGCAACATCTGTGTGCATTACTTCTGCCATGGGTGCAACTCAAGGGGGTTATTATGGAATTGCTGCACACTGCATGGCTGCTTGTCTGCAAGCCAGTAACTTACACTCAAGTATAACTGATGCTTCATTCTGTTGAGACCAACAACTTTAGCTATAATTTAGTTCTAAATCATCTTAAAAGACAATTTCCAGAATCTAGTCCCGGTAAGACAAAGATGGGATTTTTTTCCCTTTAAATTCCAAGTGATGATGAGTCTTGCTGTGTGTGGTAAATGGAGATTTGAATTTATTATTGTAATAATTGTGTGTGTTAGAAATAGTAATTTAGAAATTATGCTTCACTGTTCAGTTACTGGTTTTTAGTCTGCTCAGACCCTTGTAACTTTGTTTCCTAGCTTGAAGATTCCTTTGGGTTTTTAATTTCCCCATTCCTAAGTATTTCAACTGCAAACAAATCTCCCAGTAGCTCGCTTTCTCATCAGCTGAAGTGAGCTCCTTGTGTCCTTACTGTCTGGCATATTATCTAATCCTGTCATTATCTCTGTGGTACCTTTCTGAACTTCCTCCAATTTACCTCCTCTTGCTCTTCTCTTCTGTTTTGCAGGGACCTAGCTTAGAGACACAGATGGTGGAAGATGAAACTGAGACAAGAAGTGAAGAATTGCCTCCTCATCTGCGGGAAGAGCCTCCTGAAGGTACAGTACTGGCAGTCAGTGTAAACTCTTTACATTAAATTGGGAGAAATGTTCTGGCCAAGGAAGTCTTATTTATCTATCTGACTTGAGAGCCTACATTTGCCTATTTTCTGAGAGGGGTAAAGCTTCGTCAGTGCTGGCAGCTGAGCCAACCTCCAAGCCAGACGTCTAGCTAGCTCCTGGGCCTACTTCTGTATTCAAAGAAAGCTGCACCCACTGAGGTGGGGACATTGTTCTGCATCCTCTTTAACAATATGGTTTCTGATTAAAATTGTCCTGCTTGATTATCCTGTCTGTAGGCTTAGGAATAAAACGCATCCTTTACTGTGTTGTTTGTGATATTTTGAGCCTTCATTAGGGAAGACTTCCTAAGTAGCCATCTATTCTCTCCTTACCTTGCTCTGCAGCATCCTGCTATTGAAGTTGTCCCCAGCAGAGACTTGTCAAAGTAAGGTGTTCTAGTGATTTTGCTTTTTTCCGCTGTCTCTCTTGGAAGCCAGTTTAGCCATCTGAAGAGGAGGTAGTGAGATGCTGTCAGTCAGCAGGAGGCTCAAAAATGGCAATTTTAATTAAAAACCTTGTTTGCAATGACATGCCCTGGATTTAGACAGGGAATGGAATTTTCCCACTGTGTAAATGTTGCAGGCATTGTATATGTGCAACAAAACAGGCGTTGCTTCCTTTTGAATAGAAGCTGCTAACATTGCTGCAAGTGATGATACGTTTTAAGCTTTATCTCCAGTTCAGTGCCTTTTAAAACACAATCACTCATAATCATCATGAATAGCTTAAACAGCCCAGAGAGTGCTGAATTTCTTATTGGCAGCTTAGTGTTAAAATACCATGACATGTCTTTGGGAAATGTAAGTGTGCTTTATATTTTCTCTTTAAGAGAGTAAGATGCTGATGCAGCATTTCTGCTGTCAGCTGTTCTTAAAGGGAATATGACCCAAGTAGATGGTTTTAGGAATTTGCTGCTCCATCCCTTCTTGTTGAGCATTCCATTATAGTTTTCTCATTAAGTAGCAATTTCTTGTTGTGCCATTTCATCTACTCTTGTGTTGGCAATTACAGTATATAGAGGTAAGTGAAAGGCAGGTCAATTTTTGCAACTCCTATAAAGCCAGAGGAAGTAAATTTGAAAGATGTTATGATTTATATATATATATATATATATATATACACACACACAGAGGATATAATCTTGATGTAGTTCTCTTTTGTTACTCCCTTTTCTTTGTAAGTAATGCGAAGTCAGCATGTAATAAGAGAGCATTGTTGGAGTAAGAATGCTGGTCAGTAGCCTGAACTGATGATTACATGAGCCTAGAAACCATATCCTGGAATGTAAACCACAGGAGTTATTTTGTATCATCAGTTTATCAGGAATTAGATTTTTGGACTATGGCTTTGAATTGTGTAATCAGAAGGTTTTATTTTAATGTGGCTGAGTAGTTTTGCAAACTAAGTTTTTTGTGATTGAAAATGTTTGTTTCTGCCTGCAACCCTGCTGCTTTGGATGATGGTGAAAAATAGGAGTATTAATATTGCATTTCTGTACCTTGCTGGGTGGTCTGAAACAAATGTGTGCTCTGACTATGCCCACTTTGCTGGCATGAGGAAAAAGAACTCTTAACAGCAGAGCTGGTTTCATTAAGCAGTAGTATAGTAGGTACTGTTGAGTTCTCTCAAAGTCTGAGCTCAGTATGTACTATTAAAATACTCAGTGACATCAAGATTAGCAAAACAGGAGACATATTGGGAGCACAACTGGAACTAGAGGCTGCTTGGGAGAAGAGGTGGAAAAACTTCTGAAAGAGAGCCGTCAGGATTATGTTGATCTTACAGGTGGCTCTGTGTATTATTGGAGCTGAGTAACAGTAGTCTGCCTTAGAAGTTGCTGTCTACCAACAAAGACCAGCCAGAAGACCATGTAGTTGCAGGAGTGATTACAAATACTCCATGAAGTTCTACCATGCCATGCAGTACAGGTGTCATCTTGCTCTTCTACTGATTTCTGGCTTCTGATAGTGCTTTCACAGTTAAATCAAGTGCTTTGCAATAAATAAAGCATGTTGTCATGACTACTGCACTCCTGTTTCCTGGGATCTGTGAATTGGAGACTGTGTCTGTTTGCCTTCTGGTAATGAGTGCATAAGGGATGGAAAGCTCTCCAGAGTGTCTGTCTTTCTAGCACAATCCATTATTTCACCAGATTGCGTCACAGTCACTTCTTTTTCTAGCTTGCATTGCATATTTACTCTCCTCCTTTCAGGAGGGAATTGGGAGCACTGTGCTATACAAATACTGCAGGAAAAGAAAAGGTGAACCTTCAGGGATTGTCTTGTTTCTGAGCAGTGTTGCAGTGTGGCCTTCCACAAATACAGGGGCAGTTTTACAGGTCCCTCATGTACATAATTGAGTAGGTTTATGTGTGGGTAACAAGTGGTGGAGAACAGATGTTGGTTTTGGGTGTAGTGTGGCAACCGGTCAGTATTTGAGATGAGTTTTGTGGTGTGGGAGAAAGGGAGATTAGAGAAGAATCCCCCGGGCCCTAGAGTTATAACGGTAAGGAAACCTTGTGGTAAAATACAGCTGATGTAGTGTGCTGTTCCGTGGAGTTCCTGTAGTGAGCTCTGACAGGTTGTTTGGTTAAGAGTCCCATCCTTCCTTGGACGTTAACAGACCTGCAAACACAAAGGTCTGGGTCTCCTTAATGTGACATACGGGTTAAAAAGGAGATGAACCAGTAAACCCCTGAAAGACAACCAAGAAACTATCCAACAAAGTCTAGTTCGTGTATGTAATCTGAGTCCATTTATTTGATCTGCTGTCAAATGTAACTCTTATGTTTAAGTCAACAGAGTAAATGAGTAAAAAGTACAGCTGGTAACAGATCCTGCAGGTGGTATTAGATATCAAAGACAACTTTTGTTCTTTGAGGAAGATGTGTTATTACCAATGGCATGGATATAGATCAGAGAATGGTTTGGGTTGGAAGGGACCTTAAAGATCATTCAGTTCCAAACCCCTGCCATGGGCAGGGGCACTTTCCACCAGAGCACGTTAATCCACTCCCTGTCCAACCTGGCCTTGAGCACTGGCAGGGATGGGGCAGCCTGTGCCCTGTGTTGTTAAAAATGTCTTCCTTATCTGTCTCTAAAGGTATCCTCTTTTAGTTTAAATCCATACCCCTTGTTCTGTTGCTTACAGGCCTTGTTGAAAAGTATGTCCCCATCTTATATACTGCCTTTGAGTACTGAAAGGCTACAATAAGGTCTCCCCACAGCCTTCTCCAGGCTGAACAAGCCCAACTTTCTCAGGCCTGTCTCCATAGCAGAGGTGCTCCAGCCCTCCGAGCATCTTCATGGTCTCCTCTGGACTTGCTCCAACAGCTTCACATTCCTCTTTGTGTTGGGGCCTCAGGGTTGGATGCAGAGCTGCAGGTGGGGTCTCACCAGAGTGGAGTAGAGGGGGAGAATCACCTCCCTTATCTGCTGGACGCGTTTGTTTTAATGCAGCCCAGCATGCGGTTGGTTTTCTGGGATGCAAGCACACACTGCTGGGTCTTGAGCTTCTTGTCAACCAACACCCCCAAATCTGCTGCCCTGACCCATGTGCAGGACCGTCCAGGTAAGGTAAACACGGCATAAAGCGATGTGCCTGCAGGCATATGCGAACGCTGTGGCAGGCACAGGACCTCCTGTACCGTGGCCCGTCCTGCCATGGAGTGGAGGAATCGGGACCTGGTCGGGTTTTGGCTGCGGGAACCCCGCGGTTCGCGGCGGGACGGAGCGAGCGGTCAGCACCAGGGAGTGTTATCGGGGTGTGCGCTGCGGCCGCGGGGGGGCGCTGCAGGCCCGCCGATGGCCGCCCGTGCACACCCCTGCGGCAGGCGGCGGTGGCCGCGGGTGTTAAACCTCTGCTGTTCGTAACCCGGTACGGGGGAGCCTCGGGAGGGCTGCTTGTCCCTGGTGATGTTTTACCTGTTCATGATCCCTCTGCCCACTTCACACGTTTATTCCCCTTCATCTTTCCTTTCTCTTCCATGCTATTAACATACTTCCCCCCCCCTCAGTTAAAAGGCAAGCGTGAGGGAGCAGTAGTAAGTACAATGTGGTGTGCTGCTCAGGCTGATGTGCTTACCGCTCTGCAGAGGAGGCTGCATGTGTCACCAAGCAGTGCAGTGCAGCGCAGGGAGCTCTGGAGAGGAGCTGGTCTGTTTTAAATGGTATTAAACACTTCCCTCCTTGCAAGAGAATCTGTGCGGCCACATGGTCAAGCACTGGGCTACTTCCAGATGGATTCTGTGATCTCAAATGTTTGCTGTTAAATGCAGTCTGATTGTAGTTGGGGAACTAGTTTTAACTATGCCAGTACAGCAGCACCTTACTGTATCTGTTGCATTTTTATCCATCAGTTCAGAGTTCTGTTCCTGAGCATTTAATGCAGAGCATTGTTAATTGTTACCATCACCTTGTTTTTCTGTTCTGTTCCATTCAGTTGCTCAAGGAAAGTGATACCAATGAAGTCTGGTGGTGATTAAATCTTCTGTAACATGATTCCTTATGAAATACCAGCATCTTCTTTGTTGAGCAGCTCTGATCCTTATCTCTTCTATTTGATGAATTGGTGACCCTGACCATGCGCCTGCTTCTCCTGCCCGTTGCCAGCAGGTCCTTCCACTTTATTCAGCCCTGTTTAGGCCACAGCTGAATGTACTGTGTCCAGTGCTGGGCTCCACAATATGAGAGAGACATGGACATGCTGCAGAGTCCAGGAAGAGGCTGTGAATATGATTAAAAAGCTGGTGCATCTCTTCTTATGAGGAAAGGCTGAGAGAGCTGGGACTGTCCAGCCTAGAGAAGAAAAGGGCTGGGGGATCTTTATCAGTGTGTACAACTACCTGAGGGGAGGCTATAAAGAAGATGAGGCCAGGCTCTTTTTGGTTGTGGCCATTGACAGGACAGGTGGCAATCAGCACAAACTGAAACACACCT